GATATTTTAATCTTTGGTTGTGGGACGTTGGATGGGTATGATAATGGACAGATGGATAGACGATTTTGTAGGATTGGATTTTGTACCCAACCTTTTTTTAGTTAAGTTACATACATTCTAACTAAAAGATTCTCAAATTCCATGTGCCATGATATGGCTTTTGAGTACAATTATTTAAGTAAATGATACTTAATAGTCAAACATTTCAATATTTATGAAATATTAGTTAAAATTATTAAAATACAAAAACGGCAGGGGGTCATAAACCACAGGGAAGTCTAACAAGCAGCCGAAGCTACCCTCTTAGCCTTTAGGTTGAGGAATGAGATAGGATTCAAACCACTAATGTGACTCACTCAACCTATCAACTAAGGAATGGTTAGACTTCACCCTCGAAATTTAGATTATCCTTCAACTAAATTTAGATTATTTTGGTTGATAAATAATTTTTTCATTGCATAGTGTATGGATAGAGAATGTTATTTTCTTCGAAATTTTGTTATTGCATTGTGCAGAATACTTTAAAGTTTAGATATTGCTATATATGTATTGTTTCTCGGAAAAAATCCAAAACTACCACTGTTTAAAAAAAATTACAAAAATACCACCCACTCCATAGAATTTCCAAAAATACCACCCTTAATTTAAAACCGCTCCTCTAAGGAGCGGTTTATATAAAAACCGCGCTCCCAGGCGGCGGTTAAAGCCAAAAACGCGCCCCCAAGGCGCGGTTTGACCTTGCATGGCTGTCAAACCGCGTTGCCAGGTGGCGGTGCATCAAACCGCCCGTCCGAGGAGCGATCTGACGGCTAAACTGGCTGCCAAGTGAGCGATCCGCGTCGCCCCACAAAAACCGCTCCCCCGAGGCGCGGTTTGACCGTTGGAAAAAGCAAACCACCCTCCCGAGGCGCGGTTTGACCATCGGGATAAGGAAACCGCGTGCTGGGGGCGCGGTTTTTGGTTGCGAGAATTTACCAAACCGACCCTCCCCCACGCGGTTTGATGGCTATATAAACCCCCCCCCCCCGCACCCCTCATTTCTGCACACCATCCACCACACTCCCCTCTCTCCCTCTAATTTCTCTCCACCCAACCCCTCCCCACCCAACCTTAGAATTAGGTTTTTTGTTGGTTGCGGCCTAAGTCCGATCTGCCTCCAAAAAACTTTTCTTTGGTTTTCACTAAAAAACCGTCGAACCTCTGTCCGGATTCCGAGAGAATGGCCGATTTCGCTCAAGAAGAGGGTCTTTTTTATGATGATTATCAAACGGTACGTACTCATTGTTTCCAATTGTTGTTGTTGTTGTTAAAATGATTTATTTAATTTATATACTAATGATTTATGTTATTGTTATGCTATCGTAGGTTGGGCCGGATGTTTATATTTTCAATCAACGATATTATGTTGATCAAGGACCGATTGATCCGACAGTTTTATACGATCAAGCAAATCATCGTTCAAGAGACGTTTGGAACGACCATAAGGTACATATTATTTATCATCACTTGTAATTTGTATTTTGTTAAAATAATTTATTTGTTGTACAATAATTTACTTAATTGTTAATCGTATTGATTATTTTCAATAGTTTAAATCAATACAATACAACACTTATTGAGACTCTTTATAAAGAAATGCATCTCTAAGGAAATGGGGACTTAAGCGATCATCATGATCCCCCCATGACCTGGGAAAATCGGGTTCTAAGCGATCATCGGATCCCCCCTTTTTCTGTCAAAAAGACTGTGTTTCTAAGGAGATGTATACCTCTCCTAAGAGTCTTACGAGTGTACTTGTATTGCTTTAAATTATTGAAAATAATCAATACGATTAACAAAATAATATATTTGGATATTATTTTAGTTATGTTAATATTAATGTTTATTAGATAATGTATATTTCTATTAAATCGCTTAATTTAATATTGCATCTTAAAAAATTGGTTTACTAACATAACATCACAAAGGACAATCAAAAGTAATTAAGTTACTAACATAAAATCAGAAAGACAATGAAAAGTAATTACGAAACAAACTTACGAATTAACGTTAATCGCAAAAACTAAATAATTTAAAGGTGCAAAGCTGAAATTTGAGGAAGGAAGTGTGAAGAATTGTGTTCTCCGAAACAGCCTTTTATAGGCAAATTTTGCACCAAAACCGCTTGGGGGGGTGGGGAGCGGTTTTATGTCTGCCATGCAGCCCTACCCCTGCATGCCGACATGTCCGACATGTCGGATGTCGGGTGACCAGGCACAAACCGCGCCTCAAAGGAGCGGTTTGTGTCCTGACAATGTAAACCGCCCCTTCCCCAGGCGGTTTGATTGCCGACAATAAAACGCTCCCTCTACCAGCGTTTTCTGGTAGGGTTTAGCCTATAACTGCGGCTCGCAGAGGCGGTTTAATCCAGAAAATAAAAACGCTCCTCCAAGGAGCGGTTAGATAGGAAAACGCCTCTTAGAGGCGCGGTTTCATTGAAAACCGCTCATCAGGGGGGCGGTTTTAAATTAAGGGTGGTAGTTTTGGAAATTCTTTGGAGTGAGTGGTATTTTTGTAATTTTTTTTTAAACAGTGGTAGTTTTGGATTTTTTCCTTGTTTCTCAAGCAAAAGAAATAAATACTAACTAAAGTTTATCATCATGAGTTTCCTATTTATGCTACGATTTTTTAGACAAACTCTTTTTTTGTTATGTCAATTTTCTTCTCAACCATAGGCAACTAAGTGACTACATCATTAAATAGACAGTTTATGAATGGTTATTCACAAGTGTTATAACCAAGATTGTGACACCTCTACCGAGCAACTGGTTGGATTAGCTCTGACCAAAATCGTGCTCCAAAACAGGCTCTACAAAATCAAGGGTATGATAATTAGAGAGGGAGAAGAAGAGAGAGGCAAAAGGGGGGGGGGGGAGGGGGGGGGAGGCAAGGGGATGGTGGGTGGATCTTGAGATAGGTATGTTTTTTTAATTGAATTTGCCTACTCGAGTTTTTAATAGATATAAGTTAGTAGATTCTATTTCAGTCACTACATTTCTATCTTATATGTAAATATATTTAGAAAAGGTGTAAAACGGCTCAAACAAGTTGAACCTCAATCAAACCATTAAACTTCAAACCACGTGCTTGACCGGCTCAACGATTTAAACCGGTTTGACAACTTTGGTTATAACCATTAAGATTACAATGTTCACCATTGATGAAAAGTCATAAGAATTTCGAAAATGAAAAAATAATTTTGATGTCATCTTAATGTCATAAGAAATTCAGCATTTCAATTAATTTAAAAAATTTAAATACACATCATAAACATACTGTGTTCAAATGACATTCCGACCAATGGATCGGACAACAAGCTAGTGTGGAGTATGATGTAGTTTCTAGAATTGTCTGTCCTCGTGATACATTCATCATCTCGTACGATTTCCACCACAAGGAAAAGAAGTCATTATTCATGATCTGGTACGCTGGTTTAATTTTCCACCAATATATTGAAACGGGCCACCGTGATGACGTTCGTCGTTCGCTCACCAATCACTGCAGAAGAGCATCGCAATTCACAACTCTCCATCCCAATATCCACAAAGTCGTCACGTCACCGCCGTCCGGTTAGGTTAGTTCCAAATCCAAATGATGCAGTGAACCGTTCAGCAACCAGGGAAAAAATATATGAAGCATAGAAACGCCACCGCGCAGCTACCCTTATATCCCCACGCGCTTCACTGTATCGTACTATCGTCTATGCTCCGTCGCGCAGTAATAAGTGTATAACTAGTATACAAAATTACTTTTGGTTAATTTGAAAATGATAAATAATAGAAATTAGAAAAATAATTTGAATTTGAACATTATTTAATGATTTTTAGTTTGACATAATGTGTTGACTAACGATTAACGGTGTTAACCGTTCAAATTGATGGTCAAACTATGTATTAAGCCAATTGAGACTATATATGATGCATAGTTGATGTCAAAATGTTAATTTCTGAAAACACAGACCAAAGTTAATTATATGATTATAGTTTGTGCGAAAATAAGGTATTAACTATTAACCATTATTTTAAAATAACTTCTAAAATAACTTAAAAAGCTACCAAATACTAAATTGCGCAGACTATACAAGTAGAAGTGCAGCGAGTTGGAGTGGACCATTTAGTTTCAATCTTGTATATTCTCCAGGAAATTGAGCAGATTATTAATTGTTCGTACAAAATTGGAAAAAGAACCCCTAATCTAAACCGCACCTTAGCTGGAACTTGAGGAGAATCAGAGGGACCAGGGGAAGACGCTGGTCGTGGGCAGAGGGAGGAGGGCAACCCGCCGGCAGCGAGGAGGACTGTCCGGCGGTGGATTACAGGACCCGCTGGCGTCGGCAGGAGGAGAGGCGCTGCCGTCTGTACTTGTATCCAAGCTCCAGGGACAAAGCCTGACACACCGGCAAAGGGAGGTGGTTCGCCGGCGGAGGATCTCGACCTGATATCTCGCTAGCAGTGGCAGCGGGGAGGAGGTGAACGGATGGGGTCGCTGGGCTTTGTGTGTTGTTCCTAATTTTAGGTCAAAGGAATTTCCCAGCCTCGAATCGACAGAAGACACATTATGAGTGAATCCTCATGAATTAATTTGATTCAATTGTTCTATTTTGAGATAATTTGATTAAATTGATCTATTCGACAACACTAAATTTAGATGAAGTAATTTTTCTTGAAAATTTTTAAATTGACTCATTTTGAGTCAATTAAAATTGTTTGAAAAGGAGCACACAATACAAATTAACTCATTTTGTAAAATGAGACAATAGACCAAATTATTTCGATTTTCAATTAATCTATTTTTTTTTTTTTTTACTCTGACCGATGAATGGTTGAAAAATCGACTATCCGGTTCGAACGGTATGAGCGGTTAATTGTACCGATCGGCCAAATACCGACGCTAGCTAGCTATTTCACATTTCCGTGCCGGGCTGGCGATCGATTCTCGATTTTACCGATATCGATTTTAACAATTCTGATTTCCCCGCCTGGCGTCAGATCCACACTCGCGGGCACAACGGAGAAGAAAGAAGCCAATTTCTCGGCAGCTTATTATATTATACCAAAATTAGACGCAGGCTAATATCACAAAAAAATCTCCTCAGAATCCCAAACCACCAAACCTCACCTCCCTCCGGAAACCTCCATTTTTCTGGAATAGTTAAAACACACTCAGAATCAGAACTAGTGTCCAAATTACCCGCTTAGCCAGCCTGCCCGCCTCCATCTCTCTTCTCTTTCTCCACCGCTTTCTCATTATATAAGCTTTTACACAATCGAGCATTCCCCGTCACAGCGAAGCTTTGGTATAACTGATCAGCGAATTCGAATTTTTCTCCGGCGGCATAAAAAAATGGCGACGACTATCGAGGAGAAGGAAGTGACGGTGTTCGGAGAGGAGGAAGCCAAGCAATTAGTCAACGAGCTCAGAGTCGCTTACGATTCCGGCAGGACCCGGAGCTACAGCTGGAGGGTGGCTCAGCTGAAGAACATCCTCAGGATGTGCGACGACAGCGAGAAAGAGGTCGTCGAAGCTCTTCACAAGGATCTCGCCAAGCCTGAGCTCGAATCAACTCTCTATGAGGTAGCTAGCTGCTTCTTCTTACTTCGATGAATGTTCGTATTCAGATCTCTCTTTTTTTTCACGGTCTGCTATTTGATTCGCTCTCTCTCCCCGTGTTGCGTTGACTTCGTTTCGATTCTCAACTGGTTGATTCGATTATCATTCTTTCGGGGTTCTTTCTGCTCCTGAATTGGGATTTAGATTGCGTTGAGTCGGAGTTGAAATTTCGAGGTGACACTGGGTTTTTTGTGGGGTTAAACCGTTTTTGGTTGGTTGATTGACTCTTCATTGAGGCCGTACAGAGAGACAACACGGGTGGCAGGCAGCTAGCTAACATTGGAGTTCTGTATTTAATGAAGTGGGGGGATGCAGTTGTGGGTTATTGGCTGCCCTGCTGCGGCATCTGAGGAATTTCCAAGGCTGATACTGCTTCTCCTACTAAATTCTCTCTCTCTCTCGTGTTTGTCCTCTCTTCTTAAATGCCAATGTATTTCACGAACTCTTTCGCCCACCTTGGCAATCATCATGAAAAATTAAGGATTGAATAAAAGAAAGCTTTTGGCTTGTTTATGCGTCCCAAGTTCTTTTCTTCTCCATTTCCTGGGTTCTTACAACCATCTCTACCAAGAATTGAGGAACCGGGAATTAATGAGGTAGGACCAAGATAATGACTTCTCCCAACCACCCCCCAACGCTTTGTGTGGGTTTTTTTGTTTTTGGCTGGTTACAGGCCTTGTTTTAGTCGTGGCTTAGTTGCTTGGCCCATGGTGGATTGGTGGTGGTACTATCTGTATGTGTGCTCTTTAATTCTCAACATGGCTGTTGTACTACATGTTTCCTATCTTCGATCCAAGTTTTTGAAGACATTAATGGTTGGATTGACCATAATTCAAGCTGTATTCTTTGATTTGGGAGGAGCTTATATTTTTTTATATTTGAAGAGAGATTTTTTAGATGTCTCTAACTCATTGATGTTGGTGTTTTTAACTTGGAAATTGGAAGTAAAGCGTGCTAATGCCCTGTTACTGTCCTACAGGTAGATGAACTAGTCTCTGTTTGGAGTATCATAAGCTAGTCACTAGATTTCAGGCGTGTATAAGTTGGCCAGCATCGCCTATAGTCGCTCAATCTGCTGCTATGAGAAGCATGCAAGTTAGTAAAATGGTATGAGTTGTCCATTAATTCATACCCCGGAGGGAGTGGGGATGTACAAGTTTTGAACTTGCTTTGCCTCATGCTCTGTAGTAGAACGGATGGCACTTTAGGTGATGAAAGAATATGAGTTTGGTCATTTCACATTTGCATCCTTAAACAGAATGATTAAGTTCAGGTTGATGTCTGATTGGGGGGTAGTCGCTGATATCTACAGGTCCATTCGACTTCTCAACATTTTCTGAATCAGTTATTGAATTTGAATGTTTTTATTGAAGGACGGGAAGAGTTTTTCATTAATATATCGCGCAGATAGTAAATTTTTGAAGTGATCATGATCTTTGCTATGGTTGGTGAACAATGTATCTTGATAGTGGGTCAAAGTTAATCATAAGTTGTTTCTCAGCTTGCCTAAAACTGCACACATCAATAATCTCACGGAGTTTATACATATTTCGGTTTGACAATTTAGTGTGCTGCATTTTGGTAGGAAAAGCATAATACATACAACATATTACATGGGTAAGGAAGTGGTTAAAATTCATACATGGACATCTACCAACAACTAGAGTTATTGAGACTAATTGGTTCTTGACATGGTAGAGAGTGGTATAAAATTCATAATTACCCTTCTCCCAACACTCGAGTTTTTGGGACCACTTTATTTATGACAATAGGCAGTACGAGAAAACGGTGAACTTGTAAGAGCTGGTAGTTGAAAGATCTGGGCTTGATAATTTATTGTATCCAAAAGCACTTGGACTGCTTGTTTTAGTTTACTTTATTAGCACGTCAGTTTTTAGTCATCTAACCATCCTTTTCCCCCCTTTGATATGTCAGCCAATAATCTGAAATATCTTCTTGGAAAGTGATTAAGGGTCTGCATTGCAGCTAGGTATGATAAAGAATGCATGTAAAGTGGCACTCAAGGAACTAAAGAATTGGATCAGGCCGGAGAAGGTGCACATATTTTAAGTGATCAATTGTTTTGGGCCTGTTTTATTCTGTATTTTTTAAGTATCACCATATACTCATATTTGCTTATTTATTGCAGGCAAAAACTTCGCTGACAACGTTCCCTTCATCAGCTGAAATTGTGTCCGAGCCGTTTGGGGTTATATTGATAATTTCTGCATGGAACTATCCTTTCTGTAGGTTCAGTTTCTTTATGGTTCGATCTCTTACTATTGTCGACTAGAACTTTGAGTAATCCATGGTGAAATGTGTTTTGCAGTGCTATCCATTGATCCAGTGATTGGAGCTATTGCAGCTGGGAATGCGGTGCTTTTAAAACCATCTGAGCTAGCTCCCGCCTCGTCATCATTGCTTGCAAAACTTTTTGCACAGTATTTAGATACTTGTTCCATTAAGGTTGTTGAAGGAGCTGTCTCTGAAACGTCAGCTCTGCTAGAGCAAAAGTGGGACAAAATAATGTATACAGGTTTGTGCTTCATCTTTACTCAATGAGTTTAGGTAGTTAAATGGTTTCTTCTTCCCAATGTTCTTTAAATAACATCATTTTGCTGTTTTCTCTCGTTGTGTATTATGTCCAAGTGAATTTACTATATTCCAACCTATAGTATAGGTTTTGCATCCCAGTATTTTATACTTTGGCCCCGCTCAATAATAGGTAATGTTTGATATTCAAAGACTGGAGTTTTCTTTTATTAGTAATGCTCACTAAGGTTCGATTGTGATTGGGCATCGCAACCCACTATAGCGGGGGGTTTTGGGTGGAAGAGTTGCTAAGAGCACAATGAATTGGCAACTTCACTAGATTGGAATTCCTGCATATTTCTCATCTAATTTTTAAATATTGGACGGTTTAAAGATGTACCCTAAACCTGGAAATGTTCGGCAGATCATTCAGCGTTAACCCAAAAAGAAAGATTTCTCTCAATGAACTGAAAGGATGGTTTCCATAATATTGACAGTGAAATGTGTTATTGCATAGCTTCTTCTACTGGACATCTTTAAAATCTATCCATGATTCACTACTGCTCAGTGATTACTTCAATGATCATTGCATAATGACTCAGAAAACGAGCGTTACAGTTTTTTGGGAAAAGTCCATGAATTCATTTTGTAGGCATTTGATGCTTGTAAAATCTCTACTGCATGAATTGGGATGCAATAGTTATTGCTGTATTCAATTATCTTGGGCCAGGATCAACTAGGGCATAGATGAAACATTAAGTCACGCTTTTCATTTTTCGTATGTTGAGATGAAGAGTCCTATCAAGTAGTAGAAGGAGATCATGTTACTAGTCTTGGTTTCAAATTGACAAATTCAGTTCAGGGCATAGGTGAATGTGCTTCTCTAAATTATATTAGAGAGCTTTCTCTCTGTTAGGTGCTATCCACGGTACATATCCTTGGAAATTTACTAGAAAGGTTCAAACGCCCTGTTCTTAGATTCTTCCTAGTCGCTCTTGTTTTGCTTAGAATAAAAACTAGTGCCAGACTGACAACCATGGCTTTTGTCACAACCTGTCATATGATCCTCAAGCCAACTCCTTGCTCAATTTGCAGGGAACGGGAGGGTTGGGCGCATTGTGATGGCTGCTGCTGCAAAGCACTTGACACCTGTCATCATGGAGCTTGGGGGGAAATGTCCAGTGGTCGTTGATTCAGACATTAATTTACAGGTAAAGAAAAACTCTCTCCGAGTCTTTTGATGTGGTACTACTTCTGTTTGTTCAGTTAACTTTAGCACCTCATTTCTTCCTCCATCGATCATGTATAAATGTGAAACTTCTTGCCTCTTGAAGGTTGCAGTTAGGCGACTCATTGCAGGCAAGTGGGGCTGTAACAATGGACAAGCATGTATATCCCCTGATTACATTTTAACAACCAAAGATTATGCACCAAAGCTGGTAATTCTGCTTGCCAGTAATTCTATATTTCAGGCCTTAGTTCTTTTTTAGCTTCCTTTGAAATGAGTTCTCCAAGTGCAGGTCGATGCTCTGAAAACAGAACTCGAGAAATTTTATGGGAAAAATCAGTTGGAGTCAAAGGACTTGTCTCGCATTGTCAACTCTAACCATTTTGCTAGGTTATCCAAGCTACTGGAGGATGAGAAGGTTTCTGGTAAAATAGTGTATGGTGGTGAAAGGGACAAAGATAAGCTGTGAGTTTCTTACTCCACATACTCTCAGATAGTAAGTTACTATATATATTGAGTCCTTATCTTTTCCTTATGATTTCTATGCTCCCATTGTGTGAGATCTACAGGAGAATTGCTCCTACCATTTTGCTAGATGTGCTGAGGGATTCGCTGATAATGAATGAAGAAATATTCGGTCCTTTGCTTCCCATCCTCACGGTAAAAGAGTCAATGATCTTTAGCCCGATTACTTGTCTTCAATTGCGAATAACAGCCTTCTTATTGCTATCTTCTTTTTCGTTGACAATACAGTTGAACAATATTGATGAGAGTTTCAATGTGATCAACTCGGGAACAAAGCCACTTGCAGCCTATATATTCACCAACAATAAGAAGCTCAAAGAAAAGTTTGTGATGTCTGTCTCTGCTGGGGGCATCGTCATCAATGACACAACAATTCATGTACATCTGCCTCTCTCTCTCTCTCTCTCTCTCTCTCTCTCTCTTTGTTACATTTAGGAATGAATCAGTCAATCTGCATATGGTGTCGGAGCAATTTTTTGTTACATTCATATTTCCTTTTTTTCTGCAGATGGCGGTTCATACGGTGCCTTTTGGAGGCGTTGGCGAGAGTGGGATGGGGTCGTACCACGGGAAGTTCTCATTTGATGCCTTCAGCCACAAGAAAGCTGTGGTGTATCGGAGTTTTACAGGCGATGCTGCCTTGAGGTATCCGCCATACACGGGCTTCAAACTGAGAATGATGAAAGCTCTAATGGGCGGCAGTTTCCTTGCAATCCTGCGCGCACTCTTTGGTGGGTCTAAGTCTTGAAAGATTCTGAATCGGATCAATGTGGATAGCTTTGTTCAATGTAAGCTATATGTGCAAACCTCAACATACATGGAAACTTCCCCTAAAGACTTGGGTTTGAGTGTGATCTTGCATTTATTATTGACTGAGAAGATGCAAGGGAAACGTTTCAAATCAATCTACTGCTGTGTCATTGTTGTTCAATAAAGCCAGATTGGTTGGTTAGGCATGGAGATGATCACGTCGCGTTGAGATGACCATGCGGTCATAAGACAAGCCATGGAATGTCGTGAGAGGCCAAGTCATAGCCAATTAGCCACGAAGTAAGATAATGCTCATTGCGCATGTCTAAGAAGATACTAACGAGCCAGATTGACGCGTGTTCATGTAGTTCAATAGTTTCTTTCTCTTCAGTACGTACTATTGTCTCATTAGTATTGTCGTTAAGAGCACCTTTCCTAGATTTAGGTGTTTGTTACTTCTTTATTGGACTAATTGGGCCAGGAGTGAGCAATTGTACTTTTCTGTGTGACCTGTTTTTCTGGATTACCTTCTGGCCATCTTTGACTTATCGAGTCTAAACAAGGAGTATACTTATTATTTGTGATATTAGTGGTATTTGGTTGAAATTTCGTATTTCAACAGTGTATTAATTGAATATCTTTTACATTGATGTTAAGAACGATAGAGACTTATTTATTCGAATGTGTATGGCTGTGTAATTTAAATTATGTTCATTTTTATTAAGATTATTTAGGCATTATCGAACATTAGTTAATCCTTAGTTTGTACTATTCGAGGGACATGGTTGGTGCTCCTACTTTAGAGCATAAGAATAAGAACATGCAGGAATTCAAAAATAAAATCACAAATTAATAGATGCGATCGAAAGACAGTGAGCATTTTTTAGTAGAGGCAGACATACATATGGTGGATGAGAGTAAGAACGAAAAATAATTGACGAATACGAGCTCTCTATTGAGTTCATATTAACTAGCTAATTATATGTCAATCACCAGTAATTGACTAGGACTCTATAGAACTAATCCTCTTTGCATGCGTTGTGAACTCAGTCGTATTAAGAGCTCAGGACTATATTTGAAGAAATAGATTCAATTAGATTATTGAGGTCGTCGCTGATTTAGAGATTGTGTGGACCAATACAAGAACTTTTGTATTAGAATCCTAGAATTTTGTAGATGATACTCTTTGAATGGAAGGGAACAAAGGGTTGACGGTATATGGCTAGAAAAAATTGGAAGATGATTAGAAACAGTAAGACTGTAGGAGGGAATACTAGGGTGCCATTTCGGAAAACTTAGTGATAGAAGCGTGAGGGGCTTAAGTGCATTTTTTTTTCCAATGAAATTTAAAATACACAACGAATTTAGATAATTTTATGTATAAAATACGCAATAAATCGTTGGAATGAGCTATTAAATATTTTTTTTATTCTTGACCAGGATGTATATATTGGATTGAAAAATATTATTAACATTTTGAATGTACAATTCTCGGAAACTAAACGCTCTTCCATGCTTACACTCTCCCATTCCCGTCGATAATTTAAAGTAATTCGGCCAACAGGCCGGGTTATTAGAAACTAATTGAGTGGATGGAGGTTGATAAACGATGCATTTATTTCTCTTTTCCTTTTAAGTAAAATAAAACTAAAAACTTCAATAAAAAACTAAAAACAAATATTGTCAACTTTGAGAAGTTTCTATTCAACTTTTGAAGCTTGTTCCTTTGTCGAGCCTAATCAAATTATTTAAAGCAATTATCTTACTAAAATGATTTTATTTTAAATTTTCCTCGGCATTGTTGTAATATTTTGACCAAAACATGCTAGTAAGTTAAATGATATATTAACTAAAATAATATAATACTCGCATCATTGTGACGCCCTCAAATTATAATTCTCTAAGAATATACACTCATACGCTCCCGTTCTCACTCCCGCTCCGCGAATCGGTAAGCTAAATTCGTCAAGTAAAGTCTGCAGACAGTGAGAGTCTTCCATCACATATTGTCTGCCCTCGCAAACACCCCCACCCTCAATTTCCATTTGGTCGTTCCTCATTATATTAAACACCTGACACACACCGTCGCCATAGGAGTGACACCTTCATCGCGCGATGAATATATGTTGTTGGAGTGTTTCTTAGGAGCTCGAAGGAGGATAGCGAAAAGCAGCAGATTGAGAAACACATGTAGATAGTCCGGCGAGGAAGAATATTATCCATAGGTAGATGAGATTTTATATAATTAATAAATGTATGAACAATATAATGATTTTTTCATATATCTTGGCAAAAGCAGACTAAAACAATTGGACCATTAACCATCAACTCACTTACTAAATCGAGCCAACGAGCTAAATCGGGTTGATAACCTTTGATAGTTAGAAATTCGGATATTCTAAAAAAAAATTGGGTTCCAATTTTGATGATTGAGTCAAATAGGTGAAAAATTAAGGACTTTCAAAGAGTTTGGTTGAAATTCGAATGTCGGTCTTCAAGCTTCTTTCATGACTGACAAGTTTTTGCATTTTATTGTTGCTGGGTCAGCGGAAGAGAAAGTGGAACGGATGGAGGATATGATTGTGGTTATTTATTATTGGGAGTTGCAGACAGAGAAGATAAACCATAAAGAGGGGGTAAATTTAATTTGTTATTTCCTACCTGTCCAACCGTGATTCGACCGCATTTAACATGACTTTATCGGAAATTGTATAACATAGGGGAGGTTTGATAACGCGTATAAACTATATAGTACGAGTGCATGTTTGATGTGAAAATAGTAGAGGGATAGATTTGAGAAAAACGAATAATAGAGTGACAATTTATGCTATCAACTACACATGAAAAGTCAAAGATCGTAATGGTAGAGTAAAATGCAGAGTTTTATAATGTTTAGATTTCTTAGCTATTGTATGTGCATTAGTATCTAACATTTAACAAATGCCACTTATTATTCAAACAAGCCTATACAGTAAATTATAAAAATTTATATAATAAATATTATTTTTCATGTTCTTCCATATTTGAGATTTCTAGGCATAACACTTTTGTTATTCTCTTGGGTTTTCTATTTACCTTCCATTCCTACCAATTATAAACGATATATTTCCTTCCAACTCCGAATTCATATCCGACAATAAGAAATGCAAAAATTTCTTCAAAGATATGGAAAATAATATATACATTAACAAACGAGGACGACTTGATTAAAAAATACATATTAACTAATTAGCACTAATGCAATAATCAATAAATATCATAACAATTATTTTGAAAATTTTGATCAAAATTCATTCCACTAACAACTCGTGTAAAAGTTATGAGCCTGTGACTAAACAATAGTAGAATGGCCAATACTACGGTGTTGCTGTTAAAAGTGTGGCACCGATGTAGTCAATTCCTATCATTCCACGTGGCATAACAGAATTATGAACCAGCCCAAATGGAGCATACTCAAACTCGGTTGCATCCTTTCTCAACCGCTCAACTAACCAGAAATTCGTTTATCATTTTAGGTATTGGTAAAATATTTATTCTATTTTTTATATAAATTTTTACGGTGAGAGAGAAGCCAGAAGTAGAGTCGGGATTGGATATGGTGACAACACAATATTTGTTGTTATGGTGACAACAACATAAGATAACCAATAGGAAGCCCCCCTTCTGCATACTTTTTAGTTTTATGCAAGGTTGTTAACGTGTGGGTCGACCCGGGCCCGGACGAGCTATTGAGTTATGGGTTAATGGGTCACCCGTATTAGCACGAATTAGTTTGGAAATATGGACACTCATATACGTAAGCTTCCATAAACAAGAAACAAGTCATGCCTTGAAGTTAACAGGGTTACAAAGACACACAATGGTGGTAAACTAAAGACCTAATTGAACAAGAAGTTACAAGAAACAGAGTTAAAAAAAAAAGGAGTTAATTGCATGGTTAGTCACTGAGATTACAAAAAACGTTCAAGTTTGGTCACTCAAAATATTTAAATCCATTGGTGGTACTTCGGTTTACTGAAACCGTTCATGTTTGGTCACTCTCCGTCCAACTCCGTTAACTTTTGCTGATGCGGCAGTCAACTCTAAAAGTTGACCGTTAACTTAGTGACGTGACAACTAAAAAATTATTAAAAATAAAATAAAACTTTTATATTTTCCACCTCATTATTACATTCATTAAAAAATAAAAAATCTAATTTCTTTATTCTTTAGAAAACGATACTTGCGGGAAGAGAGAGAAGTTCGAGACGGCAAAATCAAATCACAACTGCACCATCGCAGAATTTATCTTTTTTCTCTCTAGTTCGTAGAACTGCTCTGTCAAAGACCTCCTTTGCAGAGTCGTAGTAGTTGTAGATCGTAGTCGTAGTTGCGGAGCTCTCTAGAGGAACCTCCATAGGAGTAGAGGTAATTTAACTTAGAACACTCCTGGTTCGATTTTCTGGTTATTCGTCGAACACCCTCGTTCGAACGTAGTTTGGAGAGGTGGTGAACCGAATAACGGTTGTTTGATTAGAAGTCAAGGGTGTCTCGATCAAATCAACGACGCCGACCCCGGCGGCGGATATTTGACGATCTTCTTTGTTTTCTGTTCGATCGATCAAATCAACGGCGCCGACTTTGGCGACGGATATTTGACGGTTGTGATTAACGTTGTGTTTTGTGTGTTTTCTTGAAAACCGTGCGCAGTTAACACACGAGTTTCGCCAACGAAACAAATTGGCACACCTGGTGGGACCCGTGTGTTCGAATGGCTCCGCGACGGAAGAATCAGGAAGGGGATGTTCCGCCCGGATTCGTGGAGGAACATGTGGCCAACATTGAAGGAGGCCAAGGAATCGGTGCTGAAGACATCGGCGGGTCCGAGAATCCGCCGTCCACAGCTGGGCCGACTGGGGATTTGTCAATCCGCCATTTCATGGAGGAGAATCGTCGCATGTTTGCTAGCCTCAACAATGAGTTCGCAGGCTTCAAAGGCGAGGTATATCAACGTTTTGACGCTTTAACTACATGACATGATTCTCTTGAGTCTCGTGTTGATAGGCGTTTAGGCCAACTCTTTTAAGTTGTGACTAAAAACAGACATGATTTTGATGTTTTCGGGGATAAAAATATACGTGATATGAATGAAATCAGGGAGCTCTTGGGTAGACCAGTAATGCAACCTAGGGATTTGCCGCTAAACGGTGAAAACAATTTAAACAGCGAAACTGGTTTTCCAAACAACAGCGCTCGAATTTGTCCGCCAAGACAAGGAGCTTCGCCGACACCGGTGATGAACCCACCAACTCCGCGAGTTAATTTTGGCGAGACTAGCACTGCCGCTAACACTCGGGTTGAACCACCGCCGTTTCACGGTGTGGGTCCACAAAATATTCCGGAGGCCAGACCCTACGTGGCTCCAATGAGCGGTGCTGGTGGTGGAGGAACGATCAACAATGATCATGTCCCGCCACGCGGTTACCCACAAAAAGTGCCCCCTCCTCCTCCAAACGGGCTTGGCATGGATCCTGGTGGATTCGTACCACAAGGGGGGCAACTCGGGGGGCAAGACGTTAATGCGATTCGAGATCAAGTAGCACAGATGCTGGCGGATCAGTTTGGTTTAGGGATTAGACCAGCGATGCCGCCGGTGTATCGAAAACCATATCCGGATTGGGTTGAT